CACGTGGGAAAAAAAACGCGCCTGATTTAAATGTCACACCTGAACGCTCACATCCTTTTAATAATGTTTGAAATTATGAGCATTGCTCAACATCATGAAAATTAAACCTTATTTTCAATAAGCAATCCTGAAAAATATTTGGGGGTGCTTAACTTTTTTCCAGGTGTATATATTTCTTAAAAATATTACCTATATTTGGGGAAATCATTTGAACATATGGCATACAAATGCTCATTCTATCAATATTAGTAGTTAGAGCACTGTCACATTTTTTAATTTATTACATATCTGTACAATTTGTCTTTATAAATTTCAGATACTTCCCCTGGAAAATGAGATGCAAACTCCCCAAGATTTTGGGGGATGTAGTGGGGTTCTCAATACTGGTATGGTTATTGTATGCTGCCTATATGTAGCTGTTGGTTTCTTTGGCTTCCTCAAATTCGGAGAGAGTGTGAGAGGTAGTATTACACTGAACTTACCAGCAGAACCGTGAGTATACTTCATCTCCTCCTCTTCCATATTAACCATTTTGCAACGAGTGCTCATTTATATGCTTTTCTGCACAAGTTACTGTGTTACATTCAAAATTTAATTAATCACCTTTACTATCACTGTATGTGAATGAAATTAACATTGTAATATATGTTATGATTCTAAGTTTTAAGTCCTTTATTTCAAACGAAACCTTTAAAAACAACTTAACACTTGTGTATTGTCACATGACCAACGTGCTATGAAAATTTTCTACTTTAGCTCTCTGTATCTTCAGTAAGACAATGGTAGTTGTGTAGATGTACATCTAGACATTATGCTTACATAACCTTTTGACTCATTCATTTCAAAGATCTCTGAATGAATACAGTTGAAACATGTAATAAATTTTTTCAACCCCCTGACAGTTGACATGCCCACCTTCAACAGATTTGTTTGAGCTTTATAGCCTACATGCAGATGTTACATACACATGTGTATAGTCATTAGAAAGGGCTCATTTCACACTGTAATACAACGCTAGTTATTTTGAAATTAGCATGCAATTGTCATCATGAAGTACATATAACTGACTGTAGTATTGATGGCTGCTTGATCAACAATCGCACTTACAGTTGTTTCTTACCTAAATATGTTAGAGATGCAGTTTAAATCGTATGTAGGTTTTACTTTTATATTTTAGTTAGTTATGTATTATTTATGTTTTAAAATGCATAATTGAAAGGGTTAAATATTTTTTAACTATACATCATACTTTGCATCTGTTCATGAGGCTTCTGGTATTAGGAGGTGTACAAGAATTTTGCTGAAGGGTTGCAAATGTCTGCCAGAGATACTGTAATATGCCTCGAAGGCACTGTTGACTTTTGTCAAGATGAATAATATGTGGTAAAAGAAAGGAAAATAAAGCATTAAAAATTAACTTAATATTTAAAGGAACAGACCTTAAATTATGAATTTAACAAAAATAAAATCTATAAAGGTGTTCTACAAAAAATTAAAAGGTATGTATTTGTTTTCAATTATCTAATTTTAATTATTTCTTTGCATTGTACATTGATGATAATAGCTAGTTAGTGATATGGTTGAGAAAATGAAAAATAAGATACAAAAATGTACCGTAAAAAAACTTTTGATATTCATTTAGGAAGTTCTAGAGATTATGCAAATGAAATATGAAACTATAAGATGAAGAAAAGTATTTTTATACTTAAAATAAAAATCATCTTGCACTCAGTTTGTTAATAGTTTGAATGCAAGTAACTACAATACAAAAATAACACAGTTTTAGTAATAACACTTAATTAAAATAATGTCATTCTTTGTGTATAAGATACTTATGATCTTCAACAATATTTTACCAGGATTTGAGAGGATACATTAAGAAATCTCAAAGTAAAATTCATGACTTGATTTACATAAATTACATGAGTCTGACCTGAAAGGTTTAAGTGGGATTTTGGGTGTTAGCACTTTTTAATTTGAGATAGCGTAGTTGTTGAATAATAGTATACTTAACTAGATTGTTTATCATATTGACTTCTAAAAACTTGATCGTGTCTGGTGAGCCTAACTACATAAAAATTTAATAAAACATTTGTATCACTGTGAAACTGACCATTAAGGCTTTAGGTGTTGATTTCTTGTTTTAACATTGTACTTGTTGAGTATAAACAGATACCAAAAGTGATAAATGTGTGTTTTCACAAGTACAAAGAAATAAATCATATTAAGATAGATATTTCTCTTTAAATTATTTTAGTGATCTTTCAACTTAAAGATAGAAGCATCAATTCCTTCTATCCTTGTAAAATATATGATATCTGACTATTCTAGGGCTTATGAACTGGTTCGAGTCATGTTTGCCATTGCTGTCTTCTTGTCTTATGCTATACAATTCTATGTTCCTCTTCAATTTATTTGGCCATTCATCAGAAAGAAGCGTAGGCTGGATGAGTGGATGTCTCAAAAAACTCAGAGAATGTGGGAGTACATACTTCGAGCATTCCTTGTAATGGTAACGTGTGAGTATAATAATACTGTTTTGACAAGTTTGGTTTTACATAAAACTTCAGAATGTGGGAAAACATACTTCAAGCATTCCTTGTAATGGTAACGTGTGAGTATAATAATACTGTTTTGACAAGTTTGGTTTTACATAAAACTTCAGAATGTGGGAAAACATACTTCAAGCATTCCTTGTAATGATAATGTGCGAGTATAAAAATATTGTTTTGACAAGTTTGGTTGTACATAAAACTTCAGAATGTGGGAAAACATACTTCAAGCATTCCTTGTAATGATAATGTGTGAGTATAATAATACTGTTTTGACAAGTTTGGTTTTACATAAAACTTCAGAATGTTGGAAAACATACTTCAAGCATCCCTTGTAATGATAATGTGCAAGTATAAAAATATTGTTTTGACAAGTTTGGATTTAAATAAAACTTCATAACGTGGGAGTACATACTTCGAACTTCCTTTGTGATGGTAATGTGAGTATTAAAATGCCAAATAAAAGTGGAAAAAAAGTTTGTGAGTGGTTATTTTTGATGTTTTTATTACAAGACTAAGCATGATGATGCTATCATAAAATTAACTTATTATTCAGTAATGATTACCACAGCTATTTCATGACACTTGTTATTTGTGTACATATCTATTTATACATTTTTAATAATTGGTATGCTTTCAGATTGTTTAGCAACTGCTATCCCAAAATTAGATCTTTTTATATCCTTGGTTGGAGCTGTGGCAAGTAGTAGCCTTGCCTTGGTGTTCCCGTGTCTTCTGGAAGTGATTGTCTTCTGGAATGAGGACATGAGTAAGTACCAAAGATGAATTCTTCTTTTAAAGTACTTTCTTTACAGCAACTGTGGTATCAGCTTGTTATCAGAGTTCAAGAAACTAAGAAAAGAAATGGAAACATATTTGATAATCAGGCAAATATAATTACCATATTTTCCCAAGAAGTCATCTTTGTTTTTTTGTATAATGTATGTATTAGAGCAGTGGTTCTCAACGTGGGTCATATGGCCCCCAGGGGGCCATGCCATGTTTCTAAGGGGCCACATGTGAATGACGGGAAATTAGGAAGCCACTGAAACTTTACTGCTTGAATAAAATATTTAAAATTGAATCAAAGGTTCCCTTCTCCTCATATCCCCTCACAGCTCAGAAGTCAAGTTACCAGATGTGACTAGTACTCGAGTACTCAGAATGTTTGTCTGGTATCTGTGAATGTTATTGACTGATTCTCAAGAGCAGCAGAGTGATATAACAGTCCAAGCTAGATTCAAATGTGACAAGTAGTGAAATAGCTAATAAGTTTCCGCAGCTCTGGGAGAAGGCAAAGTTGTATTTTATCTTATCTGGTTTTAGTCGGATGACTTATTTGCTATCAAAAATACGTAACCGCCTTCATGTTGTGAAGAGAGGTGATCTTCGCTTATCACTGACCACACTGCATCTGGACATTCAAAAACTTTCAAGTGTTCATCAGGCCCAAGGATCACTGAATAAAATGTCAGTGATTAACAGAATATTTTTTACTTGTATAAGTAAACAGTATTGTTATAAACAAAATTAAAAATAAAATACAATATTGTAAAAATAATAATATAATATTATAAATATATTATAAATTAACATTGTGGAAATAAAGTAACTTTTTTCCTAAGTAACAGCATCTATGAAGGATGGGGCCACAGAGTTAAATCAAACTCAAAAGGGAGCCACAAGCAAAAAAAGTAGAGACACTGTATTAGAGTGTTACAAAAAACTTGAGTTTAAAATAGAACTGATTAATAGTGTAGAACTGGAACTGGCTGTTAGAAACCAGTTGATGGGAGAACTGATTGTTAATAACACTGCATTTGTTGAAATTTTATACCTGTATTTTATTATTATTGTGTCATAAGTACCTTTTATATGTAATATTTGTTTTCATTTCTTTCTAAAATGTAACTGTGAACTTTTTATCACCATACTTATGATTGTGTTATTACCAGTGACATATTTTCAACTCTTGACTGAGTATTTCACAAATATGCTCTGTAAGCTTCATGAAAACATATTCTTTATTATTTCATTCAAATTTATGTATTGTATATGTTGGGTGGGAGATACAATAAACATATTATTAAAAAAAAATAAGTGTCCTATTATTTATAATATTTCTGTTTTTAATATTATTACTGTAAGTATGTTTGGTAAATATTTTATTTCTTTTCGCAGCTCGTGGTGAATGGATTAAACTTTTCATCAAAAACACATTTATTGCAACTTTTGGAATTTTTGGCTTTATTACGGGAACCTATGCAAGTATAAGTGCAATTGTAGAAGCATTTTCATAGATCTGAAGAAACCATGCTGTGAATTGTAAAAAAAATATTGATTGGAGATATAAGCCTGAGGAATAACCACAGCATTCTGCCCTTCAGCAGTTAAACCTGGTCTATTTCTGCAAGCTGTGTGCTCATGTCTTGAACTTTTAAATGAAACAAGTGCCTTGTGTAAACTGAAGTACACGTTATCTGTATTATGCACCTCATTCATCTGTAAATGAGTTTTAGAGCTGATTAAAAGTCAAATTTACAATAATTAAATTTTAAAAGCATTAATTATTAATTATATTTCAAAGCTCCAATCTGATCAGACCATTTTATACTTCATTTTATATGCTTGTACTATTTCATCAGCTCTATGGTCTTTACCTTGTTTCAAATTACCCTACAGTTTGTTCTTCATAGTTTTGCTGTTTTCAAAGTACTTTAGATGTTTTCAATATAACCCATGTTATTTGTGTTCTTTACCTGTTTGGCTCCTACATTCTTTTTTCTCCATTATCTTACTGTTTTCAAGTTAATCCTACATTCTTTTTTTCCATTATCTTGCTCTTTCCAAGTTAACCCCACATTCTTTTTTCTCCATTATTTTGCTCTTTCCAAGTTAACCCCTACATTCTTTTTTCTCCATTATCTTGCTCTTTCCAAGTTAACCCCACATTCTTTTTTCTCCATTATCTTGCTCTTTCCAAGTTAACCCCACATTCTTTTTTCTCCATTATCTTGCTCTTTCCAAGTTAACCCTA